ACTAAACATAACCTATAAATAATAAGAAAGTGGCGGCGGCAGATCTGTTAGAATCTGTTCCTCCTTTCAACCACTTGTGTTCKCCTGTTTCTCTTCTAATCTTTCTTCTTTCTCTCACTTTTCTTCTAYTTTGTAAACCTAAAACCTATTAGGATTCAAGACTGATTACAGTCTTGATCTTCTACTATTGTTAAAAATGTGATTGTTTCATTCTTCCCAAACGCCCCACAAAACTGCTTGAGCCACCATGTTCCAGTAGAATTAGTAGTGGGTGATAGAGTTACCTCATGAGTTTTAAGTCCATAGTTGACTACCTTTTTGAATTATTAATGTGTTTGTCTTACATTTAAAGCAATTAGAAGTTGCTTAGTCAATTTCTTGTTGAAATTGAAGGCCGTAAAGGGAGCTCTGAGTCCTTATGTTGATAAAGGTTATTACCCAATGTTGGTCTCAGCTATTTGTGGTTTTCAAAGGCATGGACTGGATACAGACCTAACCTTCTGCATTTTTTGCAAAAAGCAACAACTCTGAGACTTCAACCCCCATTCTCATGCTCGTCAACTAGAAATTTTACCATTGACCAAGCACTAACCTGATAACTCTGTATTTTGATGCCTTAAGGGCATCATTTTAGGGGTATTTTAGACCTTAGACTAACTAATCTGTACCCTTTTCCGGTTAAATTCAATGTTGTGACCTCTGAAGGTCCCTGTGCAAATTCTGGGTAAAAACTGGGAAATTTACAGAGTTTTCTGCARATCTTGGGAAGTTAGTGAGAATTTCAGCTGAGAGAGGGGGTGTTTCTGTGAAAAACTAAGCACAGGAAGGTGCCTCCTATCTGCTAAACCCAGAAAGGCGCCCCTCCTACTGTATTAGCATACTCCCCTCTCCTTAGCAAACCCTAGGGCGCCTCCCCACTCATTCTTTTCACCTCTAACAAACCCTATCCACCCCTAACTGCTAAATCTTCACCTTCCACTCCTCCCTAACATCTAATCTCAACCATCCTAGCCTTAGCAACCTCTCATACCCTTACATCTTCACTCTCTATCTTAGCCACTCACCCTAGGGCGCCACCCACTCCTTTTAATCTCCACCTTTCAGCCCTAGGCGCCCAAATCTCCACCATCCAATCCTAGGAGCTTAAATCCCAGCCTTCCATACTTATAGGCGCTCTCTCCTGTTCACTCTAGCTGTAGGACCCCTCTAGTGTAATCCTAACCCTCCATTCCTAAACCCTAGGGGTGCCCATTTTCTGCATAAACCCACTAGCCGCCCCTCTCTTTCTCTCTAATCCCAGTTTTGTCCACCCTTCTCTATAAAAAGGACCCCAGGGGCCCTTGAGAAGGGGTTGATGAGCCCAGTTCACAAGGCCAAGGCTTCTTGAGGGGTTCAAGGGTTACAGGAAGGAGGACGCCCAGTTCTTGTCAGGAGGGGTTCCTGCAAGCAGTTCATCCAACCTGCAACTGCCGCCACTAGAGCTGATCCACCATTTTTATTTTGTTTTATTTTCTTTCTTTTTTGTTATTTAATTTTTCTAGCAATTTAATTTCTGCAATTTTCGATTTTGGTTTGATTTAATTTCTATTTTTCTTTGTCTTTTGCAGATCTGAATTTGCCCAGTTCAAGGCTAAGGTGTCTCGAGGGGTTCGAGGGCTGAGCGGAGGAGGAACGGCTTGCAATTTGTCTTCCCAAAAAGTTACCGCCACTGGATCCGAATTTCATCATATTTTTATTTATTTTCTTGTTAATTTCAGTTTTATTTAATTTCTGAATTTTATTTCTTGTCTTTTTCAATTCTGAATATTTAGTTTCAGCTTTAATAAATTTTATTTTCTTATTTTCTGCAAATCCCAAATCTGTTTTCTTTTTCTTATTTGTTCGGAACAAAATAATAATTTTTAACCTTGCTTCCCTATGGATTCGACCCCTTCCTCACCACTAAACTACGTTCTTTATTTAGTTTTGAGGATTGGAAAAAAATAAATTATTAAACTGGTGCCCCGGGTGTTTGACGACGCATCCCGGGCGCACCAAACCCCTATGTTGAGTTTATAGATAGTCCATGTAACTCAGATTTTAGAGTTGATTTGATGAATAAAATTATGTTATAGTGAATTGTGATTATCTAAGGTTGCTCCAAGTATCACTTCCTTTTTTCTCTGTTTTTCTTCTAAAGGTGCAACCTTTTCTTCTTTCTCTTTTCTATTTTATTCTACATTTCAGATCTAAAACCCTTTTATTTCTCCTTTCTTTCCCCTATATCAGATCCATATTCTTTCTTTACTCACCACTTAGAGGGTTAGAACTTAATAGGACCTTTCTCCTTCCCATCCCACATCAATTCATGATAAACTGGATAGGACAATGAAAATCACCAAACCTGCAAGCAATATAAGCATCATATTTTATTTATATGAGAAAATAGAAGAAATAAATTCTGAGTGTGAACTCTAAAAGACACTAATTGAATGGGAAATCATGAAAAGAACAAAGACAAATAATTAAAAATAAACTAAAATCAACTCTTTTTTCTTACTGTAGCACAAAGAAAAAAGGGAACTAGACCAGATGCAGTGTCCTGAGAGATTGCTTCAGTTAACACTTCAGGAGAAAGAGCATAATTTGTAGAAGAGTCAGTTTTCAGCAGTCTACAGTTCTCTGCGTGAATACCACCAATCTGACACTCGTACATAAAACAACCATCAATAGTAACAGTATTTGAAGAATCTGTCAGCATCCTTTCATGCCACAATTCAAACAACATGTTTTAATCAGTAAGGAAAAGAAAATCCCATGGATGCTATTTTAATCTATGATACTAAGATACTACATGCTCAGTGCATCTATATGACAGAAAACACTTCTAGAACTTGATTCTTGTTTGCAATTCTAAATCGGATTTATGTATTAAAAGCCTATATATAAGTCTTCCACTAATCTAACTTTGAGAAAATTAGCTGTATTGGTTTTTACATGATATAAATACTTTGGTAGATAAATACAATTTCATTAACTATCATAAAAAAAATAAAGAAGACACAAGGAAAAAGAGACAATAAAAAGCATAGCATGTGGCAGGGCCAAAACATAAAGCAACAGAAGTGCCTTCCGTTCGAATAGGAGTGTGAGTATGAATCATCCAGATCAGCCATCACCCCCTTTCAAATTTTCAGAATTTAGGACATCCAAGATTTCATCATCCAGATCAGCCATCATTTTATCTAGGATTCTGGTATCTGCAGTTCCTAGGCTTCAGAAATGAAGAGTCATACCCACCTTCCCCTGCTGTGAGTTCATTATAACTAACACATTAAAGAGAAGGGAGGAATCTGTAGAGTATACTGCTACATGGTTGGTCATAAGCTCTTTCTCTCATTCTTTTCCCTTGTTTCTTGTTTTCTCTCCCACCTTCTTCTATTTTTCTATTCTGTTTTATAATTTTATTACATCGTATCAAAGCAGGGTTTGTGATCAACTGGTACCACTTTCTACCTGTTAGATTTATTTTCTGAGTTCTGGTATTCTACAAGGATCTGAGAATCAGATTAAGGTTAAGTGCTTCTCAGAGAAATTGTGATGGTTCAGACCATCAGTGATGTTAGGGTCAATGTTCAGGTAATGCAAGACTCTCTATTAGGACAGTCCAAGAGGGCTGATGTGATTTGAGTAAGGAAAAAAATGTGAGAAGGGTTTCATGTGTGTTAAAGTGACATTAGAGAACCCTCATTCTAATAGTGTTCTTTTGTGTGGATTTCTCTTTGTCGAAAGGAAGAGATGGAATCTAAATCAACTATTATGCTGTCTACTGATCTCATGGCAATCCAAGTAATATCTATAAAGTTGAATGGAACAAATTATGCAATTTGGACTAAATCAGTTTAGGGTTTTCTCACTGCAAAAGGGAAGCTGAAATATTTGACTGATAAGAAACCTGAAGTCAGGAGTTCAACCTACTCTGAATGGGTAGAAGAGGCTAAAATGAAAACATGGTTGTGGAACTCAATGAAGCCTAAAATAAGTAGTACACTGATTTTTTCTTGATACTTCCAAGCAGATGCAGGAAAAGGTGAAGAGATTATACTCGGATGGCAACAATATTACCCATATTTATCAGAATTTTCAATCCTTTTTTTCTCTACAGCAGGGAGATGGTTCTCTCAAAGAGTACTATACTTGAATGATGGGTCTATGTGAAGAACTTAATATTTATCAACCCATTACTTCAGATATTACAGTTATGGAGAAACAGAGGAAGGATTTTAGTGTTGTAAAGTTTCTTTTTGAGATTAAATCAAAGTATTATCCAGTCCAATCTGATACTAGTGTTTTAAAATTGTGAGGCACAAAAAAAGCACAAAGGGCATTTTGTACCCAAGGCACAAAGTACAAGGCGAGGCACAGACCTTTTTGAAGCAAGGCGCAAAATTTAAAAAATTGAAAATTGCAAAAAAAAATGTAAAAAAGTTAAAATAAATTAAAAAATATTAAAAATAGTATTAACTAAAAAGGCAAGCTTTAATTTTTAAACTAAATGTTTTAAAAAGCCTATTAGCTCAAAACAAAATACATAAACATAACATATAAAACATTTAAAGTGAAAATGCAAAAATAACATATAAAACATATTCAAGCATGCCAAACTTTCAATTCCTGTATATCTTTCCCAATTGCATTATTTCAAATAACTAATATGTTTTTAAACATCTCTCATTCCTAATTCTAGGAGATGCCTTTGTACCAAGCCCCTTGAAGCAAGCCAAACAAGTCCATGTTAGTGTCTTAAATTCTTAATCCCTACAAAAAAGAATGATTTTTTATAACTTTAATTATCTTTTAAAAATATCTTTTATTAAGATGAATGAATGAACAACATTAGCAGATAGAAGGGTTCTCGGAGCTTCTATGAGTGAGCAAAGCAAACGAAATAAGATCTTGTTGCTGGAATAAAAAGTTGCACTTATTGATTAAAAAAGGCTTGGAATATGATGATTGTGTAATAATGTTTCATATTAATGGAGGGCAATATTGTATTTTTTGTAATTTAGTATAAATCCTAATGGAAAGGGCCAAAAACTGGGTTGATTACAAATGTATAACACAATATACCCTAGTGATTACAAATGATTCATCTTGCACTTGATAATAAAAAGAGGACTAAAAGAAAGAAACTATAACCAAATGATAAAATGCCTGCTGAATACAAAAAGAACATGCTAATACTGATAAACAATATGAGGAACAACTGAGAAAGTAAAGTCTGATATTAGTTTTAGGACATATATGGTATATATTTCTTCATAACCTCCTGTTGCAGAACCATCAAAAGTTTATGACTTATTAGTATGTCTATTTATTGTTTCTTAAAGAAATAATAAGATATTAGTTCTTAAGTTCATATACCTGGCAGGCTTTCCGTAAAGCAGAATGTGTTTGATCAGATGCATACACCACAAGTTTTCCAATGGAGTTTCTTCCAAACATCCTCAAAGCCTTGTCCCGTGCAGCCAACAATACAACTAGAACTGCTTCACTTGCTGTACCCTGAATCACACCACCACCTTGCCCTGCAAAATTGGTTCCAAGCAGGACAACTACTTATATAGAATTACATTGCTAATGAAGAGAACAAATCATACTTCTGGTAAATATTAAAATAAATAGCAACTACCTTAGTAACAAAAAATTCATCATAATGTGTTTTTATTTTTTTGAAGAGTAAAAAGAAATTTCATTAATTAAAAAGAAAAATTACAGATCAAGAAGTGACAAGATGAAACCTCGCAACCAAAACAAGCTGAAAACTGAGAAACATTACAACTGAAATTCAAGAACATTCCAAAAATTTTCCCCTGGATCTGATTTTCTGATATGAGCAAACTCTGACAGCACCCAGGCCCAGTCCACCACTAGTTTCCCCACAATAGCCACAAGGGTTTCAGCATTTCTAGATATATCTTCAAAGATTCTTCTGTTCGTTTCATTCCATATGATCCAAAAAACAGCAAATGGTATGCAGCTCCAAATTACTTTTGCTTTTCTACTACCACCGATTCTGGGCCAAGCTGAGAAACTTCTGTTGTAGATCTTGGCTGATAAACTCTGACCCCAAACAATAGAAAATAGAAATTCCATATAAATTTTGCAAACTTGCAAGTATAGAACAGGTGTAGTACTGTCTCTTCATCTGAGCAGCATAGAATACAGTAACTAGCCAAGCTGAACCCTCTGCTTTTTAAATGATCTGTAGTTAAAATGCCATCCAGTGCAACCAACCAAGCAAAAGCTTCCACTCCGAGAGGCACAAGATTCCCCCAACCTTTTCCACTCAATTTGAGACCAGATGATTCCTCACCAATGCCAGATAAAAAGACTTGAATTCACAGTGAAAATTCCATTTCTGGATTCTTTCCACCACAGACCATCCCTTTTAGGAGTTGAAACCGAAGACTGTTGTAGCTTTTCCAATAGCTTACTGCAATCCTTAATCTCATGGTCCAGTAAAGGTCCTCTAAATTTGGGGCACCAAACAACCTGCTCACCCCTCAGTTCAAAGCATTCATCCACATTGACTTGATGATCAGAGAGCCTATATGGTCTGACACATCTCACACAGTTTCCCTGCTTCACACCACTCGGCTTCCCAAAATCTTATCCTAGACCCATCTCCTACCTTAAAACTTACCAAGGCTTTGTAATCATTGTTGAACTCGTTATGCCTTTCCAAACACTCACTCCATAAGAGTTTGAGACCTCTCTCAATTCCCACCCAAACCTCACCAACCCATACTTTCCCACTATAACCCTCCTCCAAAGTGATTCCTTCTCCCTCTCCAGCCCAAACCTCCATCACTTACCCAACATAGCCTTATTGAAAATTCTAACCCTTTTAATCCCCAAACCACCCTTTCCACTTGGCCTACAAACCTTTCTCCATCTTACCAAATGAAATTTCTTGACACCCCCTACCCCTTTGCACAGAAAATCCCTTTGTAGTTTCATCTTTCAACCACCCTTGCTGGAACTTTCAACAGAGAAAGATAATATGTCGGTAAGCTTGACAGTACACTCCTGATCAATGTGATTCTGCCCCACAAAGGCAGGTATTTTTTCCTTCCAGCTCTCCACCCTCTCAATTACTGATCTCCAAATCCCAGTTGCATAGGCTTTAGACCCCACCGGCAAGCCCAAACAAAGGAAAGTTAGCTACCCAGTTTGGCATTGAAACACCGCAGCAAATTGATCCAAATCCTCCCTTCCTACCTCCCCCCACCCCAACTATCATGCTCTTAGACAAATTAACTTTCAACCCTATGAGCAATTCAAAGTTAGCCAAAATGGCTATTAGATTTAACACTTGTTCCACTGAAGCATCCAGAAAGATGAGAGTGTCATCAGCATACTAGAGATGAGAAATGCAAGCTCCTCTGTTCCCACTTTGAAGCCTTTACTGGTTACTGTTCACACCTATGTTTTGCACCCTAGGAGTTGAGAGTTCCTTCTTTCCAATACAAGTTGCTAAAGTGACTTGAAAGGACTGGTCATCCCTTAGGAAAAGAGGCTTTAGTGCCTTGAGTTAGTCAATTTAAGGTGTTTGTGATGGTGTCTTAAGTTCTTTGCCACAGCCCTAGATGTAAGTACAGGTATGTGTGTTGAATTCGGTGGTTTTGTGACAGTGTGTGGTGTTTAGTTTGGTGTGTTGTGGTGTGGGAACTCACTTCCTATGGTGTGTGGAGTCTTTTGATACTCTATAAGGTGTACAAGCCTTTGTTTGTTGGATTCTAGGGCTGCAAACTACTGTATCAAGGTACTGTTGTACCCGTATTTGGGCTTAAAGTTGCTGTAGTGTTGTTAATCCTTGCTGTTTGGTGTTTTACTTTTCCTATGGCCGCCTCCAGTAATAGCTCCAAGCCCTCTGTAATAGTGCAATCGGACTTTATGAATACCCAGCTAACCACCATTAAGCTCAATGGTACTAATTATGTACCATGGGCTAAATCTATGGAAGTTTCTTTGATTGCTAGAGGGAAGTTGAAATATGTTAAGAAAGATTAACCCAAGAGTGGGTCTGAGGTATACAGTGAATGGGTGCAGGAAAATGCTCAAGTTATGACTGTCTTATGGAATAGTATGGAAAACAACATTAGTGTTAATCTCATGTTTTTGGATACTGCCAAGGAAATTTGGGAGCATTCCCGAAAATTATACTCAGGATAGGACAATGTGACAAGGATCTATCAGCTGTATCAAGATTATTTTCTCTCCAACAGGGTGATAAGAGTGTAGAGGAGTATTATGCTACTCTGAAAAGTTTACGGAATGAGCTGAATGTTTACCAGCCTCTCTCCCCTGATCTGAAGGTATAACATGTTCAGAGGAAACATTTAGATGTTGCAAGATTCCTGTCAGGACTGAGATCAAAGTTTGAACCTATGAGAGCTCAGATTTTGGGAAGTAGTGATCTTCCTTCCCTTTCAGAGATGTTTTCTTGTATCCGTAGGACATGCCAATTCCACAATGATCATTCTATTACATCAGAGAAGTCTACCTTAGTGGCAACCAAAGATGGTGGTGGAAGGGGTGTTAGGGGGAGAGGTACATTTAGAGGTGTCAGTCGTGGTTTTAGAGGTGGTCACAGTGGAAGTAAAGATTTAAGCTTATCCACCTCTTTGTATGTTAGTATACTTTGGCATTCATATTAGGTATCAAAGATTGAACTCTGGCATCTAAAGCAAACATCTTGTTAAGATGGATATGAGATCCAAAAAAAAACTCTCCAGCAGATAGTCTAGTTGGAGCATGGACATGTATTCCAGTGCATACCCCATAGGGTAGCAAAATATCGAAATCCTTTCAGCTGTTATGTTTCCTCTTTTTTTTAGATATTTGTTCTGGGATAGGTGATTTCCCTCTCAGTTTTCATTATCAACAAAGTTCTTGATATGGTTATGGATCAAAAACACCTTGGTGGAGGGTAAAAAGAAGGTAATAAAACAAAAGAAACTAAGAAATAAAATATATCATTGAAAATGGAAAACTACTTATATCTTTCTGGTACTTGGGATAAACAAGTCTAAACTACTACTTTATAAGTGACAGCTAAAATCCCACTAAGCGATTTTTTGAATTCACAAAAGAAAATATGTTGGCATCGGTTAATCATCTAATTTATGTAAATATAATCATTTTCACACTTACCAGATGAAAGGAAATCTTCTGGTAGCTTCAGCATTTTAGCAAGCCAATCCAGAACAATGGTTTCAAGTTCGGTCGCAGCAGGAGAAGTCACCCAACTGAAACCCACAATATTAAGACCACCACTGAGCATTTCTCCCAAGAACCCAGCAATACTGCTATTAGAAGGAAAATATCCAAAAAAATTCGGACTTTGCCAATGGGTTACCCCTGGTATTATCTTTGCTTGAATATCTGCTTGCAAAGAAAAATGTGGTTTTCATTAAGACAAAATAAAGTTTAATGTCAAAACCAATTAAAAGAGGAGGAAGGAAGGGAGAGAGAGAGAGAGAGAGAGAGAGTAATTAATTTTAAATAAATGAGAACCCAGTTGATCAACTTCACCATCAAGAACATTTTGGAGTGATTCAGGCTGGTTAGGCGCAGAATCGGGTATAATTTTACGCAGATACCCAGGCTGCAAAGAAAACCCATAATCAACCGCATTACATAAAAGGTAAAAAAAAAATGAACCTGAATAATTAAAATATAAAAGAAAAAACTCAAAACCATTTTCATTGAGTAAAAACTTCTAAGTTCTAACAACAAGCAAGCAACATATCATTTTATCTCCAGTATTGATTGGTCCGTGCAAACTTCGTCTGCTTAATAATATCTAAATTAGTGGTAAACCAGCAAGTGCATAATAGGGGGAAAGGAAAAGCTAATATGGAACAAAAGAAGATATATTTGAGCACCTCGACTTGACTGAGAACAGGAAAACTTTCTATGCTTTTGTAGTAATCAGCAATGAAATCTACCATCTTATGAGCATTCTCTCTGAGCTGCTCAGCGTCCATTGGTTTCATCCCACCCTCCCTGAAAATCCAGAAAGAAAAAGGATGATATAGATAAACGAACATTGTTCTCATCTTAATGATAAAATTAGAGTTGTTAAGAGAAACACAACATTTTCTTCTCTTCTGGATTGGAAAAGATGTAAGGATGAGACTGGATTCTGAACTCTGAAGACCGAAGGAGGGTGCGGTCAAAATACACAACATACACAGCTTTGATAAATCTGAAATCTAAGATATTGGTGTTGAAAAAAAAGTAAAATATATTGCTTTTAGACTTTTTAGAGGCTCTAAACGAAAAGGTTGTTAGTGTTAGATCAAACCATGGTTTTCAAAAAATTAAGAACTAATCAGGTGATCGGTTTCGTTTTTTTTCCAAAATGGGATATGTGTATAAAAACGTTGATTTGGTCAGTAAATTGCTGACCCGGGTGATTGAATCATTCAACAGTTTTGACCGTTTTTTTATTTTTTTAATTTTTTTGTCAAAACAGGCCGACCGTTCACTTCAAACGATTGGACCATTCGACCCAAGAACCGGACTCCTGACCAGTTCATTCTCTGGGCCGGTTTTAAAAACATTCGATCAAACCTTAGTCCAGATCGATTTTAAAAACCTTGGATCAAACCTTCACCATCTGAATTCATTGATTTTACTATTTTACCTCTAAAATAGATTATTTGGTTATTTTGAGTTCAATTTACATTATTTCATAAAAAGTAATTTATTAAATTAAAATAATATTGAAAAATATGAGTAAATTATATAAAAAAATAAAAAATAATTATTAAAATATGAATAAAATTGAAAAATACATATCAATTTATAAATTAAAAATAAATTATTAAGAGTTAAAATAATAATGAAAATAGTAATAAAGAACATGAAGCAATAAAAAATTAATAATTATCAAATTAATATCTTAAAACTATTAAAATATTTAATAATTAATAAAAACTAAAATAATTAATAATTAATACAAATATAATTTTATAAAAAATAAAAAACAATTTATTAAAATATGAATAAAATTGGAAAGAACCACTGCTACTGTTGAGAGTTGTAGCGGCGTGGCTGGAAAACAGGGGAGAGAGAGAGAGAGCCTTTTGACATACGCATGTTAACTGCCATATTGAGAGTTGCAGTGGCAATGGCGGGAATAGGGGGGGAGAGAGAGGGAGGGAGAGGGAAATCAAATGTTGGTGACTATAGGGTTGCAGCGGCAACGGGAAGATAGGAGGGAGAGAGAAATCAAAAGAATAGAAATGAGTTCTCCATTGCTGTCTCCTTTTGAGTTCTCCATTTCTCTCCCTATGTTGTCATGGCGTTGACAAAAATGTCAAAGGAAATGAGTGATGGCCCACAATCTAAACATTTTAGATCTGAAATGCACTTTCAAATCAACATTTAGATGCATACCCAAACACTTATGGAAATCTGAAAAGTAATGTTTACAGATTTTAGACCTCTTAAAAGCGTTATCAAATGCCACCTTAGGCGGTGTTCGGCACCGTGTTCATCTCATGGATGGGACCGATCCACACTATATTGTGGACCGGTCCCGTCCACACCCCATTTTAGCAGCAACAGGAAAAACTCGTGGATAGGGCCTGTCCATAGTCTATTTTTGATCCTGCTTCACAATCTATTTTTGGTTTTGTACTTTCTTTTTTTCCCAATTAAACATGAAATCAGAAATGCATTCTTGATACAAAATATTCAAATGGAAATTGATCAAATGAATGTTAGCTCAGTTTTTTTATTTTTTACATTTATTTTCATCTTATACTATGGACCAAAGTTCCATTCGAGGGGGGTTCATATGATTCATTGGAGCTTTAAAGTATCACTTGTAAGGGAGTTTATAGGAGATTTTGCAGAATTCCCAGCACCAAATAGTAGCCCAAATCAGTCTTAAATTTTTATTTTTTATAAAATTTTAATGTTTTATCAATAAAATAACATTTTTAAATATTTAAAAATATTTTTTAATATTTAATTATTTTACTATTGTTTTTTATAAAAAAATCAATATTTATTGGTTAATATTAATTCATTGATGCATTTTTAATATATTTATCATATAAAATGCAAAAATAGATATTTATGATTAACTATGTAGATCATTCATAAAATGTGGTGTGGTGTGGTGTGGTCCCTACCATATGATGTAGTGTGAACCAGTCAATCCATACAGTTTGTTCACAGTTTAGAACAGTTGTAGACTGTGGTGTGGCATTATGTGGATTAGTCCCTGCCATATGGTGTAGTGTGAAGCAGTCCATACCCACCAATTTCTCATCCACACTATAAAATTCTCCCTTAATCTCTCTTTTATTTCTTTTAGGGTAAAATACAAAAAGCTCCCCTAAAGTTTTTGACAATCATAACAACCTCCCTTATAGTTTATTTTAACAAAAACCTCCCTTAAACTTTTAAAGTATTTGATAAAAACCTCCCTTCCATCACTGATTCAGATGAAAAACGTTAGACTAATGCATCATTTTTCTTAAATACCCATTTTATCCTTTTATAGCCCTCTTTAAAATTCCACTAAAAAAAATCTCCCTTTAACCTTCTTATTGCACTTCCTTTCTTTATCGTTCAAACTTCTTTCTTTCTGAATCCATGGCTGTAATCCCGTCGGATTTTTAGAGAAATCCCTAGAAACCTCTAAAAGCTTGGTTACCTGTCCACTACAAACAATGTTCTTGCCTTTGTAGCCGCTGTTGTCCGGTTCTCGTAGCTTGGCTCTTCACAGCACATGCTAGGTTAGCACTTCAAGTTTCGGTAGCCACACCGACGTCATCATATGGTCCAACGATGCCGGATGATTTACAGAAGAAGTGCGTCAACTCACTCAGAGCTCGCTTCAAAGTCGTAACATTCACATTCCTCATCCAAATTCAACGTGCCATGTGATTCTCTGTTTGTGGAATTCGGCTCCACTATATCAGCTAACTGAGCTGCCCACCACGTTTAATATTACTTCCTACCGGAATGCAACACTGACGGCTGCCGTAAATAATTTGGAACGGAAATGTCAGAACTCATCATATTCTGGATGCACCTAGTGTCTCGATGCCCTCGGAAAGGTCAGTTCTTTGACCGAGTTATTAATTCTTTATCTCACAGATGCATTCTTTCATGATAAATTCTGATTTTAGCAGTATTGCAGTTTCAAAAAACATGAGAGGTGACTCTCACCTTTTTCATTTCAGAGAACCAATGGAAGTGGTTCTGGTAACATGGAAATGGAAACCATGTTTTATGGATGTTTTTCATTCTTTCTTTCTTTTTTGTAATTTTTCCCATTCCCATTGCTAACATGCGCTGTTACTATTGCTATAGGGTAGTTGTTTCTAATGGCAGGAGAAAACAGCAACCGATTGAGCAAGATGTTTGGTAGGGATTGCCAACCAGGCGTATTTTTCAAATACCATGGATATTTGAAAAATATTAATGCATCAGTCTAATGTTTTCCGTCTGGATTAGTAACAGAATGGAGGTTTTTGTGGAATTCTTTAAAAGTTAATTGTTTAAGAGAGGTTTTTGTTAAAGTTAAACTATAGGGCAGGTTTTTGTATTTTACCCTTTCTTTTATTTGACTGGCGGCCATTTGTCATAGGTTTAATGGGACCCATTGTTTGATCATGCAGGTAAAAAAAAATAGGATCCATCTTTTGATCATACTAGCGGGGACCCGTGTGATGTACGGGATTTTTCAAGGAAAAGTGAAATTTTAGTAATTTGTTACAAAAATAATTAAATTAATCCATAGATTAAATTTTTTTAGTCATAATTAATTAATCTAAGTCCAAGCTCAATGTTTAAGACTTTAGGTTAGGCTTTGGTTGATCCTCAACCTGATCCAACCTCTTAAGTTGCACCCCTAAGAGCAATGTGAAATTTGTAATTAGACTGAATCAAATCTATGCACAACCCATGCATGCATTATTTTTGGGTTTTTAACTATTTTAAATAAAAATTATTAATATTGAACTCAAAGGAGCTATGGGGGTTGAGCTACCCCCATTGTGTAGAATAATAAACTAAAAGCATAGATGATCTCAAGCCATGTTTTGATACTGTGTTAACAATTTTATAGGTTGTGTAGCCTTGTCCTACCCACATCCTAAGCATAATAATATTTGTACGGGCTTGGAACGGGGATAGGCTCGCCCATGTTAATTACAAAACTATTGCAATGGGATGGGGACCATACTCCTCGTCCTCGATCCTGACTTTGACACAAATCCCCGTCCTTGACCTTGATCCCTGCCAAGGATAAATATGACCCTCCATCCCCGATTTCTAATGGAGACGAGCTCTTTGTTGTGAACCTAAATGCCCAAATTTTTAAATTAAAATTATTTTCATAAAATATATTTACTTAAAATAAGGGATTTTTTAAATACAAAAATATTTTAAATATATTTTGATATAAAAAATATCATGAACAAAAAACCATGTCAAATCAGAAACAAAAAACCATGAACAATCGATTGTTCAATTGGAATCATTTTGATCTTGAACCTCATTCCATGTCAAATCAGAAACAAAAAACCATAGATACGTAGATCCCCAAAATCCAAATCCAACAACACCAAGATCATCTAAATCTGACACAGTTTACTCCTTCATCTTAACACCCGAAGTCGAAACCGATTCCGATCGTCTAATCAAGGTCATTTTGATCCTGAACCTCATTTCACATCAAATCAGAAATCTAAAACCATAAGTACATAGAGCCCAAAAATCCAAATTCAACGACACCAAAATCCCCTGAATCCCTTTCATCCTAAGACCTGAAGCTAGAATCGATTTCAATCGTTCGATCAAAGTCATTTTGATCCTGAAGCTCATTTCCTGTCAAATCAGAAATCCAAAACCATAGGTACATAGAGCCCAAAATCCAAATCCAGCGACACCCAAATCCGACATCGTTTACCCCTTCATCTCAAGACTCGAAGCCGGAGCCAATTCTAATCGTTTGATCGGGATCATTTTTTATCTTGAACCCTATGCCATGTGAAATTTGAAATCCAACCTATGGTAGAGCTTGAAATTCTGAGTCTAACGGTACCAAGATCGTCCAATTCTAACACCATTAACCCCTCCTTCTTGAGACTTGAGCCTAGACTCAATCCGAACTTTCCATTTGGAATCCTCTTCACTACATTTTTTAACATAGGGCATCCCACGACCAGAACTTTCTCTCAGCCTCTAAAATCATCTTAAAATC